AGTCAAAGACTCTGTGCGTCTATTGTGTGTAGGACTCGTATACCAGGGATACGAGAAGGCTACTAAGGTTATCTATTAAAGTAAATAATTTTACTGGGCCCAATAATACCTTACACTTCCAAAAGATTTCACACCTGATATTCATTAATGCATTCATTCCGCAAACCTATTCATTTACTTATTTATTTGAGACAGAGTATCACTTTGTCACCCTCTGTAGAGTGCTGTAGCGTCACAGCTCACAGCAACATCAAACTCTTGGACTCAAGTGATTCTCTTGCTTCAGTATCCCAAGTAGCTGGGAGTACAGGCGGCCACCACAACGCCTGGCTATTTTTAGGCATGGGAGGGTTTTCTCTTGCTCAGGCTGGTCTGGAACTCAGACCAGCTCAGGTGATCCATCCTAGGTCCTAGGCCTCCCAGAGTGGTAGGATTACAGGTGTGAGCCACCGCGCCCAGCCATACTCATTCATTTAATAAATATATTCTGTTTTGTGAAACAGAAAGCACTCTTCTAGGCTTTGGGGATTCACCAGAGCCTTCCTTGTAGGGGGAGGGGAAGGAACAGGCAATAAAGTAAATAGTAATTATGTAGCACTTTAAAAACTGATAAGTGCCATGGAGAAAAAAACAAGGGAAGAAAGAGGTACAGAGTTGGGGCTGCTAGTTTAAATTCCCGAACGGGAATGAATGAGAAAGTAACTTTTAGGCAAGACCTGAAGAAAGTGAAGGAGAGAGCCTTCCAAGAGGAAGAAATAGCAAGTCAAAGACCAGATGTTAGGCGTGAGTCTGGCATATTGAAGGGACAGCACAGAGGTCAGTTTGAGTGGAGCAGTGAGCGGGAAGGAGTGGGAGACAAAGTCAGAGAAGTAAGAGCATTCCCTTACCGCCTGCGGGGGCAATTTCAGTGTTTCTTTGCCACCTACTATATTATATCTAGGCACTGTTGGGGGTCCTGGGAATGCAACAGTGAATGAGCCAAGTGCTGAAATTCTGTGATGAAAGCAAACATTAAACAAACAAGAAAAATATCCAATATTGATAAACACTTTGCAGACAAGTTAATTAATTGATGTTCTAGAAAGCCAATGGGTGGCTTCTTTATATTGGGTGGTCAAAGTGGGCCTCTCAGAAAGTGGCATTTAAATTGAGGTGTGGTTGGCAGGGCCAAGGTGACTCACCCCTGTAATCCTAGCACTATGGGTATAATCCTAGCACTTTAGGAAGCCAAGGTAGGAGGATCCCTTGAACTTGGTAGTTTGAGACCAGCCTGAGCAAGAGGGAGACCCCATGTCTACTAAAAATAGAAAAAAATCAGCTGGGTGCTGTGACAGGTACCTGTAGGCCCAGCTACTTGGGAGGCTGAGAAAGGGGGATTGTTGAACTCAGAAGTTTGAGGTTGCTGTGAGGAAGGTTGAGGCCATAGCACTCTAGCCTGGACAGCAGAATGAGACTGTCTCAAAAAAAGAGAGAAAGAAGGAAAGAAAAGATAAGAGGAGAGGAGAGGAAGAAAGAGGGAGAGAGAAAAAAAAAAAGAAAAGAAAAATTAGCCAAGAATGATGTCATGGGTCTGTGGTCTCAGCTACTTGAGAGACTGAGGCAGGGGGATTGCTTGAGCTCAGGAATTTGAGGTTGCAATGAGCTGTGATGATGCCATGGCACTCTACCCAGGGTGATAGAGAGAGACTCTAACCAAAAAAAAAAAAAA